CTACGGGGAATTCTGGGGTGGTTATAACCACCCCTCCTCCCAGCACTGCCACCACCACCTACCCCACGCAGGTTAATCTCCCCCTTCCTGCCCCAAGCGTAACTACTCCCACCCCTCCACCGGGATGAGGCTAGTGCAGCCCCTGGCCCGAAGCCCATAGCTGGCAGCCTGCCCTCACCCCACACACAAATCCAGAGGGCACATACCCCCCATGCAGGTGTGCACAATGGTGGGGAGCCATCCCCACCCCCCTGGACAAGCCATCTGTGGTTCTGCCCTGTGCCCTACCCCAGAGTCACATTCACTGCCCTGACTGGGCATCACTTGCCCCTGCCCCACTCCCTCCCTCATCATGGGGGCCTCAATCTGCCCCACCATGCCCCTTCCCTCCCACAGACTTACCAGCAGGATGCTGCTCTCCAAGCTGCCTGGCTGGATTCTTGGCTGTGCATGCTGCAGCTACATGCACGCGGCATTTATCAGAGACATTATTGCGCAAAAAAAGCTGATTGTTGATAATGCTAATCTGCCCGTTATTGGTGCCAATTCAATATGCAACTGATATATCAGTGCACCTCTAGTAACTGGAGTTACTGTGCAGTAGTGCTGGAAAACATTTTTAGTGATGCTATTGCGCAGTAGCCTAATAATACTTTGTATTAGCATATTAGCACTTTTTGTGCTGTGACATGCTACCGTGCAGAATTATTGCAGCTACTGCGCAGTTAGTGTCTTGTGCAGACACACCCAGAAACCATGAAATAATAGCATTAAAGATCCTGAAGGAAGGAAACAAGAACAGAATAAAGACAGTGGTGATAAACAACTTAAAGAAACTGGTGAGCAGGATCTTACAAGTCTAAGGAGAAAAGGAGTCCAGGAGAGTTGGTTGTGCCTTAAAGAGGCTATATTAAACAGGATAAACACAGGCTATTGTGATGCAAAGATAAACTAGAAAGTGCAGCAAGAGACTGGCCTGGATAAATACTGAACTTTACAATGAAGTTGAAACTAAAATAGGAATATTTGAAAAGGTAAAAACTTGACCATATAATTAGGGATAAATAAAAAGCATCAGTATGCAGGGTGAAAAATCAGGAAGGCCATGACATAAGATGCAATTGGCAAGTCAGCAACAAAAAGAGCATTCAATAGATATTTTAGAAGAGGATGACCAAGAAAAGTGTAGGTCCCTGAACAAATTAGGAGACGATTTAATAATGAATGATGCAGAGAAGGCTGAAGTATTTAATACCTTTTTTCCTTCAGTCTTCATGAATAAGGTCAGCTATCAGGTGACAAACACAGCTAACAGCAAGGAGGAAAATAAGATAAGTGCCTGTCGTAGGGAAATAATAAGTTAGATTAAATCGAGAAGCTGAGTGTTTTAGAGTCTGTAAGGCCAAACAAGATACATCCCAGAGTACTAAAGGAACTGGCAGAAATCATTTCAGCCACTGGCTTTTCTCTTTGAAAACTCACTGAGGATGGATGCTTGGATAACTGAAGAAGTGGGGACAGATACATCCCCCTTTAAAAAAAAAAAAAAAAGAATAAGGATACAAGAGATTATAGACTAACTTTGATATCCAGAATGATTTTTGAGCATGTTTTTAAGGAACTTTTAAGGAACTTGTTTCTAGGCACCTAGAAAACAAGGGCAATCAGGAACAGTCAACATGGATTTGTCAACTCAGCCAACCTCATTTCCTTCTATAAAAGGCAAGGGATTTTGTGGACAGTTGGAGGGGGAAGGGATAGAAAGAGTAGTGTACATCATACTGTATATGTTTTTACCATCTATAATGTTCCCTGACCCTGAGGAAGGGCATGTGTGCCTGAAAGCTTGCAGAAAAAGATAATTTTTTTCCAATTTCTTAGTTGGTCTAATAAAAGGTATTGCTGAACCCAGAATTCCAGAGTTTTGCATTTATTTTAGAGTAAGGCTTTTAATACTGTTGTCTCCCTATGACACACTTTAGTGAACTGAAAAAATACAGTCTAGATAAAAATACTGTAAAGTGGACATATGACTGTCTGCTCAAGAAGTAATCATCAATGGCTCAATGACTCATTAGGAGGGGGGTATTGAATGGGGGCCTCCAGGGGTATATCCCAAGTCCAGTACTGTTCAATATTTTCACTAATGACTTGAACAATAGGACTGCATGCACAGTCAGCAGATTTTCAAATGACATCAGATGGATGGAGCTGCAGATGCTGAAAGATGGCATTTGGATGAGGAGTCAGAATGACCTTAAAGAACTAGAAAAATGGTCTAAAATAATTCAATTAAATTTAGTAAGGACACACACAAAGACAGGAAGGTTAGATTGCCGTCTATCATGATTTTTGTTCTCTTGAATATTATGGATGCATTTGGATATTATGGTGACATATCATTTTAAGATGACAGAGTACAGGGAAAAAACACCTACTCCTTTCAGACAGGAAATACTGCTTTCTGAAAAGCCACTTGGAAGCACAGGATGTTGCAGAAAGGAGGGAGGATGGGGGGGGGGGGGGAGGGGGGAA